TGAGGAACTCTGGGAGTTGAAGTCCACAGGTCTTAAAGTTGCCAAGGTTGGAGACCACTGTTCTAGTCCAACCCCCTGCTTAGGCAGGAATCCCTACACCACTACAGAAAAAGCGTTATCCAACATCTTCTTAAAGACTTCCAGTGCTGGAGCATTCACAACTTCTGGAGGCAAGTGGTTCCACTGATTAAGGAAATTTCTCCTTAGCTCTAGGTTGCTTGTCTCCTTGATTAGTTTCCACCCATTGCTTCTTGTCCTGCCCTGAGGTGCCTTGGAGAATAGATTGACTCCCTCTTCTTTGTGGAAACCCCTGAGATATTGGAAGATTGCTATCATGTCTCCTCTAGTCCTCCTGTTCATTAAACTAAACTTAACTAGTTTCTGCAACCCTTCTTCATATGGTTTAGCCTCCAGTCCTCTAATAAACTTTGTTGCTCTTCCCTACAGAATTATTAGAGATAGAAATATGGATAGATGTCCCAGGCTGCAAGAAGGACTCCAAGTCCAGCTTTAGGCATGTAAACTGGCCAGGTTCTACACCACAATCTTGTGAGGTGGGTTGGGCTGAGAGAGAGAATAACCTACTCAAAGTCACCCTACCAGTTAACATTTTCTGCACTTTCCCGAATGCTTTCCTATCCATTTAGCAGGGATGTCTTAACCGTATTATGACCCCGAACCACCGAACTCCAAATCTTTCTGATTGAAAAGCTCAGTGACTTAGCCACTGAGCCACCCTAAAATTAAACATATATTTATCTTTTTGGCACTTCCAACAAAATCCCTGTTGAAACATTAAATACATGCTGGGCATAACAATTAATCAACATGATAAACATTTGAACAATACACGATGCTTGAAAAAAGACAATAATACTCAATAAGCCATACAGTTGATGTACGTATATGATACAAGATGCATCAAAGGGTTAAGATACAGAGATTAGTATGGGGACCCTATGCTTGTAGGGCCGCAGGCAACAGCCCATCAGGCCCCTGAATTAAGGCAGCCCTGAGTATCCTGGCATAAGACAGGAAATGAAACATGAGGATGATCTTTCTAAACTGCCACACAGATATTGAGGAAACATCTGCACCTAAAGAATCTCCTCAGAGAATTAGGAGGAGGATGTCCTCTCCCCACTTTGGACATTTGAGTAGCTCTCAGATTTAGGCAGTCATAGAAATTTGAATATATTTTTTGCACTAGGATTGGGAAGGACTGAATAAATCTGTATCTGCTCTGTTCAGTTTATTATATTCATAGACCAGAAAAAATAAAAACACTCAGTAAATATACAATTGAAAATTCCAGGATAAAATAAATAGATAACAACTAAAATCCATGATAAAATCCTGTCTGTCAATTATACATGGTCTAATTCAGGGTTGGCAACCTTAAACAATCAACCTTAAACAATCAAAGAGCCACAAAGGTCCTAACCAGAAGCCCTCCGTTTAACTCTGGGGGCAACTGTGAGTCCCGTTTCTCTACCATAGAGTCTCCTCCTAGCACGGCGTCCTTTTTCCTCTATCTGTCCTAAATGGTAGCCTTTTGATGTCCTCTCTAATAAATACATTCATTCTCTATTATTGTGCGTCATTTTGAGACGTTGGATTTTTCCAAGACTTCCTTTTACTTAATGCACATTCAACTGGTCCTTTCTCCCATTAAAGCACAGGAAAAAAATTGTGTCCCAATCCTTTTTTCCATTCAAAAATTCACATACAAATTATAATCAAGCTAATGTATTCATCAATGCGCTGTGTGGCTCTTTTATCCCAACAGATATGCAAATCGAGACACAAATTCCCCTTTAACGGAACCCAATGGTTTGCTGCTTCAGACACCTCCCACCAACATAAACCTTGTGCTTTTTCCAGAATCCTCTCCTATCAATTTTATCTATTCATTACAGTGAGCAAAAATGTGGTTAAACCTTCTGTCCATACTCAGTAAGCCGAACAGTTGATGTACTTATATGATACAAGATGCATCGAAGGGTCAACGTACACAGATTAGTAAGGGGCCCCTGCGTGGGGCCGCAGGAAACAGCCCATCAGACCCCTGAGTTAAGGCAGCCCTGAGTATCGTGGCATAAGGAAGGAAATGAAGCATGAGGATGATCTTTATAAAT